CTTCCTCATTTGCCTCATTATCACCATCATCTACCTTCATCATCTACCATCATCATCATCATCTACCATCATCATCATCATCTACCATCATCATCATCTACCATCATCATCATCATCTACCATCATCAACATCATCTACCATCATCATCATCATCCTCCATCAATCAACTGGTGGATGAGGGCCCCTACTTAAGCCTCATTAGCACCATCATCATCATCCTGTATCAATCAACTGGTGGATGAAGGCCCCTACTTAAGCCTCATTAGCACCATCATTGCCATCATCATCTTCATCATCATCCTGCATCAATCAACTGGTGGATGAAGGCCCTACTTAAGCCTCATTAGCACCATCACTACCATCATCATCATCCTGTATCAATCAACTGGTGGATGAAGGCCCCTACTTAAGCCTCATTAGCACCATCACTACCATCATCATCATCCTGTATCAATCAACTGGTGCATAAAGGCCCACACTTGAGCTTTAATGAAAACAATTACTGAAACAACTAAATTATTCTCTTTCTTCACTCTTCATTTTTAGATGTTCCTTTAGTTAACATTATTTATACTAATATTGACTTATGCTACTATGCTGCTTGACCTACTGGAGGTTTCATTTGCTTTAAAAATACACTGCTACTGTACTGTAGGCTACCTTGTACTCAACCCACTTCGATTCAATATTTCATGAATGTACAGTGGTCCCTCCGTTAACGAACGGTTCGATTAACGAAATTTCGGTTAACGAATTACCTCCCATAAGGATCTTCAATTCGGTTAACTAACAAAACTTTGATTAATGAAATCCTTACGAACAACACGTTTTGTTGTGAGCATCAGCTGATCAGCTGATGGGTTCGTCTGCCAATTCAGTAATCTGTTCTATGTTTACATTCGTTTCCAGTGGAGTAAATATCAAGAAAGTTGTGCTCTTTAATATTTTTGCATTTTTTATATTAAAATTATTAGTCATTTTAAAATTTAGTTAACATATTGACAATATATGCAGTACAGGGAACTAGTTTTTTGTGCGCCCATCAGCCGCTTGACTCCCCCACCAGGCGTCAGTATGGCTTTGTTGACAGTGGAGTGAACATATATATTTTTGCATTTTTACATTGAAATTATTGGTCATTCTGAAATTTAGTTAACATATTGATAATATATAGCACAGTGCAGTGTTGATTTAAATAAAATAATCTTGAATTACACCTAGTGAACTTTAAATTTTATTGGTGAAATGACGGCATCAAGCATGGGTCCCCTGAAAGGTGATTTCTCCTCCATCCCCACTTCCTTCTCTTCTCCCTTCTCCTCCAGCCCCACTTCTAATTCACATCAGCATCATCAACCCGGAACCTTCTACATACCCATCTCAAAGTAAGTGTACTTTACTGCATTTTTTTTTTACTTTGTATGTACTTTTCTGTGAGCTGAAACCAATTACCCAATATACCAGTGAAACAATGGATTCGGTTAACGAAATTTTCGGTTAACGAACGACTGTGGAACGAATTGTGTTCGTTAACCGAGGGACCACTGTAATCCAAATATTAAACACAAAATCCACATTCATGGAAGCAGCTGACTTAAATTTCTTATACCCCTTTTTGGCTTAACTTTAATTAGTCTCAGTTACTATAATTCGGTTTTAAGTTAGGTTGTCCATAACATGAGTCATTGTAACATACCGGTATGCAGAGCGGCTATGTAAAGCAGTCTATTACTAGCATGTTAAAAAAATTATTCAGCATCAAATGTCCTGAAAATGGCCTTAGAATTTGTTAAAAGTAGTTATTTTATTAATGGTGGAGCCTGATTTTGATAATGGAGTAAAATTATAGCAGTGGGGAGAGTACGTAAACTGACAGTGGTGTTCTACCAACCAGTGTATACTATAAGTACTGTAATGATTATCACTGACAATAGCCTTCACATATTGTACAATAAGACTTATGAATCACACTCAGGAAGCGAGATAAAGGAAAATTACTTTTCTTTTCACTCATGTAATCTTTGTCCTGCTAAACTACAAGAATATGACACACACACACACACACACACACACACACACACACACACACACACACACACACACACACACACACACACACACACACACACACACACACACACACACACACACACACACACACACACACACACACACACACACACACACACACACACACACACACACACACACACACACACACACACACACACACACACACACACACACACACACACACACACACACACACACACACACACACACACACACACACACACACACACACACACACACACACACACACACACACACACACACACACACACACACACACACACACACACACACACACACACACACACACACACACACACACACACACACACACACACACACACACACACACACACACACACACACACACACACACACACACACACACACACACACACACACACACACACACACACACACACACACACACACACACACACACACACACACACACACACACACACACACACACACACACACACACACACACACACACACACACACACACACACACACACACACACACACACACACACACACACACACACACACACACACACACACACACACACACACACACACACACACACACACACACACACACACACACACACACACACACACACACACACACACACACACACACACACACACACACACACACACACACACACACACACACACACACACACACACACACACACACACACACACACACACACACACACACACACACACACACACACACACACACACACACACACACACACACACACACACACACACACACACACACACACACACACACACACACACACACACACACACACACACACACACACACACACACACACACACACACACACACACACACACACACACACACACACACACACACACACACACACACACACACACACACACACACACACACACACACACACACACACACACACACACACACACACACACACACACACACACACACACACACACACACACACACACACACACACACACACACACACACACACACACACACACACACACACACACACACACACACACACACACACACACACACACACACACACACACACACACACACACACACACACACACACACACACACACACACACACACACACACACACACACACACACACACACACACACACACACACACACACACACACACACACACACACACACACACACACACACACACACACACACACACACACACACACACACACACACACACACACACACACACACACACACACACACACACACACACACACACTCTTTTCATTTGCCATTACTCACTCAGATATTTGTTCCATAATGTAAAAACTTCAGAGATTGATTAAAGTGAATGAAGTGAGGTAGACAATAGCACTGATATAATATTAAGACCTCATCAAAGGGGAGGGATAATACGTACTGTCATATCAACCATAAAAAAATAAATTAATCAAAAGCGATAAATATACAGTACAGTATTATATAGAAAGTTAAGATTTCAGCCAAACATGCTCACTTCTGATCTAATAAAAAAAATAAGTTGAGGATGCTTAATAAAGTGATTATAACCAACTGATATAAGTACTGTACAGTACTCGAACTAAATTAACTGAAACGTTTTAATGATACTGATAAACACTTTTTTACATTTATAAATCTTGCATCAAAAGATAATAAATTTTTTGTAGTATTAATTTAAATTTCCTCATACAAAACTAACACACCCCTCCTGGCCATTCCTTTACATGTTCCCTTTACACAACCTGCTTCTTTTCCCTGTTTCCATAATGCAGGTGCAATATCCCACTGCAACAACACATTGATGAGGAAGAAAACAAGTTTCACGTGAACAACACACACATGCGCACACGCATACATCATAAGTGATAACAACACCCCTTGGTCAAATCTGGTGGTGGGTTTAAAATAACTGGTCTTATCCAGCTGATGTGATAACTACATCCAAATTTCATTTATTTTCCAACCAAAACTCAAACAAACTACTCGAAGATTGATCCAATTGATATTATAAAAAAAAAAATTACATAGCTGTAAAGCTGTCTGACTGATTAAGCCCTTTGTGAAAATATTTAGAAAAAAGGCAACTGAGTTTTGGCATGTGTAATAGCTTTATACCTGCAAGAAGAGTGAGAATATCTTAAAATTAACCTAAGTTAAGACGATCTCCAACGATTCTCTGGAACTAAGTGCTGTAAGAAAACTTTGATATGAATGTTTCTGAATGAGTGAGTCCTGATCTGTATCTTAATATTAACTCAAGTGTTCGGTCCCATTTTTCATAACTATTGAATTCACAGGAAGACGTAACAGACTATGATCATGAATGATGTGGAAAAATGACCTCACATTCAATCTCAGTCTTAAAAAGACAATTCAAACTCTTATTATCTATCACTTGCACATGTGTCACTTCTAAGGTTATTACCAAGGAGAGAGCAGCTAATCTTTTACATAATGCCTAAAGAGCTTCATCTATACAATCATAAATCTAAACACTGTGTTCAAAGACACATGAAAACATCTATATGAATGTAAACATGTGTGATTTGTCACATTTAAACTACTGGGTAATCAAAAACATACAGTTTTTCAAACAAACTGTGATCTTATGATCCTACTCTCTCATAAGAATTTCCTTCATTCCTTAAAGCAGAGAAGAGATACTGTACTATAGAAAAATATATCAACCTGCTTTTGTGAAGTGTGTAAGAACACACACAACAGTGTTGACGTTCTATAACTTACTATAAATCTTAAATATATCCTTCACTCCATCAATACATTTGAAGTCAAACACACCCTTGCAACCCTGTTCCCACTATGCAGCAGGGTGACCAGAATAAATAATTCAAAACAAAAGATCTTTATAAGGACTCACCCTGGTTCTGCTTTCTTGTCCTGGAGGATTGACTGTCTGTCATCAGCAGGGCTTGGACCACTTGGGTACGAGTTTATTGCACCTGGTCCATTTGGTCCAGCAGGGTATGGGCTTTGTCCATTTGTTCCACTCTGATAAGGCCCAGATCCCCCTGGCCCTAGAGGAGTATATGGAGTGGAAACACTTGGTCCACCTGGCCCATTAAAGGGGCCTGGGCCATTGGGGTATGGCCCATGTCCATTCCCAAATGTTGCAGGACCAGTAGGAAATGGTCCAAGGCCATTATTTGGTTGTGGATACTGAGCCCAGGGATACTGCCCACCAGGAGGATACTGGCCTGGAGGGTACTGCTGGTTTTGTTGTGGTTGCTGAAGAGGTGGTGGTCCTTGTGGATACTGTCCGTCTGGCAGACCTTGTTGAGGCAGCACCTGCTGTGGGGGCATTTGTTGAGGAGGTCCTTGATGAATGGGTCCTTGTTGGGATGGGTTGTGCTGAGGTGCACCCGGCAGATAATGTGGGTCAGAGGTAGCAACTAACTTAGAAAGTCCCTCCTGGGGTGGTCCCTGCTGATATGGAGTTGGCTGATGACCCACTTGTTGATACATGGTAGTTTGTACTTCTACTGGTTTGTTTGTTTGATACTGTTCCTCTTGCAGTCCTCCTTCAGGATTCTTCTGAGAAGATTGGTCCTGCTGCAGGTGTAGTTGTCCCTGATACTGTCCTTGGTGGAACTGTTGCTGAGGCTGTCCTGGCTGAGTCTGCCCTTGTGTATTTTGTCCTTGAGGGGAAGATCCCCTCTGTTGTTGATTAGGTGATGACTGTGGGACTTCAGAGTGGTTGTTGCCTTGCTGTGCCTGATACCTGTGATCATTCTGGGCCTGCTGGGTAAGGTGCTCTGGTCTCTCAGGGGATGGTGGTCCAGTCCTCTGTCCTGGGCCTCCTGAGCCATGTTGTCCACTATAATAATATGTGTAAGAATTATGGGGACTTGCTCCTCCTGTGGGCTTTGACTCTACCTTCATAAGACTTCCAGGAGATCGATTTTCACCTTCCCTGGTATCTGCTGGCTGCTGTGGCTGCTGCTGCTGTTGATTTGGTTGGTCTCCAAAGTTACCATATGGCTGAGGTGGCTGTTGTACTGGTAACTGAGATGACTGCTGCTGTGACTGTGATTGTGAAGTAGGCGGCTGCTGCTGTGAATTTGATAAATTTGAATGAGTTCCCTGAAAGGGAAAAATGAAACCGTAAGTTCTTAAAGTGAAAGTCCAGCTATGTTTGTATCTTTAGGAAAGGTACAGATCACATCTTATGTTATCCTTAAATTCCTGCCTTTATTATCCTTTTCCCAAGAATATTTCCATCCCATATTACTAATTTTAGGTAGGATAATATCATAAATATACAATACAATACAAAATCTAATTAGGGGGGAAAATATCACTTCCTTCTTGTTAAATCAAGCTAGTGTTTTTATTGGTTCCCTTATTCTTTCATTCTTCAGAAAATAAACCTAATCTTATTTGTGTTCTTTCCTGCATTTTGTGTGGTAATAACACCCCACCTACCCTTCCTGGCCAAGGGATTGAAGTCATGTCTTCATGGGTTAGGAGTAGAGCACAAGCAGCAGGAACATAGAGCCCCTAACTTACTTGTATCAGTATGTTTACATACCATAGTCACTCGCCTTATACACTTTTGTCTTTTTTAAGCTTTTAATTAAAAATATTGTAGTTAACATATAACCCTCTATTTTCTCCACACTGGAGTGGATTTTTTACTAAAACATGTTTGACTTGCCAGTAGCCCTAATGAGTAGCAACATAATGGGTATTGCAGCTGACCAATGGCATGCTGCAATTGCTGCATTGTTATGATAGATGATCCTGAGGACCTGTACATAACTAGCTAAGCTGATGGAGGGTAAGACGACACTCCTCAGTGCTCTGTTTATACAAGTCCTTCTTGGATCGTCAGTAGATTGGGGATCATGTTTTTGTTTTTTGTTTTTTCAAAATTTGGCTGCTGTGAAGTGCTTGTACTAGTCATGCAAAAATGTGCAAAGAAAGTCAGAAGCATTCTGACTTTGTATGACAAAGTGGACATGTTAGATAAGTTTCAAGAAGTGCATGAAATATGGATGTACCCCACAAATATGGAGTTAATGAATCACTGACCAAATCTGTTAAGAGGTCAGAGGAGGAAATAAAAAGCTTCTGGTGCAGCGAGCATGGTTTTTAGTTGATGCACATGATCCCTGTCCTTTGGTCTCCTTCCTGTAATCTTACCTCTCCTCTTCTATACAGTATGAACAATAGGTTATGAGGTATTGTATACCAGTAGGTATTTTGTACAAGTTATATAACACAAAAAAATCTAGTTGTCTGGGTTGAGGGAGTAATCTAGTGCCTGTGTGTGAGGAAGGAAAGAGGGAGGGAGGGAGGGAGTTGTCCAATAGTAAAGAAATATTGTCTTGGAATGCTGTAGATCTCTATTTCTCTCATGAGACTAATTATTAACCTTACATGTTCTTCCCATATAAGGATGTTTTACTCTTTAACCCTAAAAGTTGTAAGTCATGAACAGTTGACTGAGGCTGCAAATATGCAACAAGTCAACACTTGTATATTTTTACATGTTTCACCATTGATCTGAAGTGGTTGTAGTAGCATTTTACAGAGTCCAGCAAGGAAACATAACACTATTACTGTCCTCAAGCTTATCTACATACAGTACAAGTATATCAGTTGAAATACAAAACAAACTAATTATTTCAATACTGGGATAGGCAAAGACTAAGATGGATGAATAAAATAAACACTGGGTCCCTAGAGATGCAAAATCTAGGAGGACTTGTAAAATAAGTCCAAAAACATTTAGTGGAGGATTGAGGATTATGGTTGCTAATCCTCAGACATGCAGATGGCACTTTGATTGATTAATACCTATATTACAGGTGACTTTTTCATACAAAGAGTAGTATGTAAAATACAATTCTTGTAGTTTTGATCAAGGTATTTTCCATAGAGCTGATGTGACTTCTAACAGGGGTACAACAATTATCAACTGTTTGCAACAATAAATAGGTAAAATGACTAAACGTTACCTCAGCAAAACTACATTATGAAACAAGGTTAAGGGAAAGTTCTTTCATGAGTCAGGCAGGACTAGTACTTACATTACTGGCTGACAACTACCTGTACTGTAAAAGTATAAACAGCAGGACATAAGTATCAGGACAGGACTAAGTATCAATTAAATTTCTTCACCATTACAAGCCTTCTCCAAATTATATCACTGGGTGACCAGAGAGAACTAACACAAATTTGTTTCATTTATTGTCTTCCATCACTTTTACTGTTGCAATAACTCCATAAATTCTCTCTCTCTCCAATCCTTTTCATATGTCCATTCCACTCATTTCTAATGTATCCTCTCCATCCTTTCATCTTCTTTCGGGCTTTCCCTCCCCTGAATTATATACACAGTAAGAATATATACCATACTTTAATGAAGAAATAGAGAAAGAAAAAAAAATGAGGGAAGGAAAGTAATGCCTCATTCCTATCCTCAATACTCCTTTGATTTATGTTATAGAGATGTGGTTTAGCAGGCTGAAAGACCCATCAGCATTACAGTAAGGTACTCCTCGACTTACAACCACCTCAGTCGTACCCAAAAATTTTCAAACTTCGTATGTATTTTCTAGGACCGAAACGTTTCCATCCTGTACGAGAGCGTAGCGTGGGCTGGGTCGCCTCGCGGCGTACAGCTGTCGTTGTCAGTAGTGATTGCGCTGTGTACTGACAATATTTTCGTTTCTAATTCTCTTTAGAATGACTGGCAAGCATAAAAGTGAGAGTTCTGATAGTGCTCAGAAGAAAAAGAGACAGTCAATTACTTTTGAGATGAAAATGAAAATAATAATGCAATATGAAAATGGAAAAACGGTAGCAACCATTTCACGTGACCTAGGCTTCTCTCACTCGACGATATCAACAATTTTGAAGGACAAGGAACGAATTCGTGAGGTAGTGAAAGGATCAGCACCTATAAAGGGAACAATAATAACGAAAAAAAGACAAGGTCCTATTCATGAGATGAAAATTTACTTGTGGTGTGGATGGAAGATCAGCTGCAAAAGCGTGTACCCTTAAGCCTTCTAACCATACAGGCTAAGGCAAGAAGCCTTTTCGAAAGCCTGAAAGAGCAGGCAGGAGATGAGTGTGACCAAAACTTCACAGCAAGTCATGAGTGGTTCCAAAGGTTTAAGAAATGTTACAGTTTGCACAGTGTAAAGGTGAGTGGAGAGGCAGCAAGTGCTGATGTGGGTGCTGCCGAAGCTTTTAAGGAGGAGCTTGATCGTGTCATTGTGGAGGGAAATTATTTATCTGAGCAAATATTTAATGTGGATGAAACTGGCTTATTCTGGAAGCGCATGCCAGAACGGACATACATCCACAAAGAGGAGAAAACCATGCCGGGATTCAAGGCATTCAAGGACCGAATCACACTTCTGTTGGGGGTAATGTAGCTGGTTTCAAGATAAAGCCCTTCATGATATATCATTCAGAGAACCCAAGGGCTTTTAAACATGTCAGCAAGCACACACTGCCAGTGTTTTATTGCAGTAATAAGAAAGCATGGATGACCCAAGTACTGTTTGAGGATTGGTTCCCGAGTTGTTTCATTCCACGAGCCAAGGAATATTGTCTGCAACAAGGGATTGCGTTCAAGATTTTATTAATTTTGGATAATACTCCGGGACACCCACCACACCTGGACGACCTGCATCCTGATGTTAAGGTGGTCTACATTCCACCTAACACTACCTCTTATCATCCAACCCATGGATCAAGGTGCTATTGCTGCTTTTAAAGCGTATTATTTAAGTACGACCTTCGTTCAGGCTGTTGCTGCTACTGAAGGTAAGAAAACGCTCAGAGAGTTTTGGAAGGACTACAACATTTTGAAATGTATAAAGAACATAGCTGCAGCATGGGATGAGGTTATAGGTCAGTGCATGAATGGAATATGGAAGAAAGTCCTGAAAAAATATGTGAACAGTTTCAAAGGATTTAATGAAGTTGAAGCCATTTCCGAGATTATTAACAAGAAAGTGGAGTTAGATAAACAGCTGGAGTTAGAAATTGATAATGAAGATGTTGAGCAGTTGGTTGAAAGTGTAGCAGAACAGCTAAGTAACGAGGATCTTATTGAACTGGATGCGCAGAAAACTGCAGAGGAAGAAGAAAGTAAAAATGTAGAAGAACCTGCACCCCCCAAAAAATTTTCAGTGAAACAAATGGCAGAGGCATTTGCTACTATTAATAAGGGGATGGAAATGTTTGACAAAATGGATCAAAATGTTGAGCATTTTGCAAAAGTTGACAGAATGATCCAAGATGCACTTGCTTGCTACAGGGAGATTTACAATGAAAAGAAAAAGCAAACTGTGCAGTCTAAATTGGACATATATTTTAAGAAGTCCCCCATTGCTGTCTCCTCACGCCCCACCAGTGCTGCCTCTTCACTCCCTAAAGATGATCCAATACCTTCAACCAGCAACTTTTTTTCCCTGTACATAAACCTGTCTGAAGAAAGCGACATTGATGACCCACCCAGCCCTGTCTCCTCTTCTGCTTCATCCAATTAATGTAGTCTCCATGTTTAATTAAAAAATTATTGGGGCCCCGTGTGCATTCAGCTGACTACATTAAAGGTAAGTGCACAGTAACACTTGATTCATTCTTCATTATTGATTACTTTTACTGTACTGTATTTCATTTTAGATTTTCTATGTATGAGTTTTCGCATTTTCGACTTACGACCTGGATTTGGGTCCCTAACCCCGTCGTAAGTCGGGGACTGCATGTATTGCTAGTTTCAACCCTCAGTGTTGAAGGCAGCCACCCCAGGACAAGAAGCAATTATAACACATACACCCATCACAGCCACCCACTGTACACACACACCCTAACCAAATAGACATGTACGTATGCTTTTTTGGGGGGCTTCTAAATAATGTAAAAATTCTGTTCAACAGGAAACTATTTTAATTTTTTCCATCAACATTTCCAAGGCTCACTACAAAGCATCAAATGCAAATCATTACCACAAATCAATATCTTATTTTGTTCTTCTTGTACACTTTTAAGAATTTTTTCCAAGTGAGTATATTTCGAGCTTCAAAACTGACTACTGTACTCAAAAAATTAGAAACCCC